GTCTGGGTGCACACTCAAAAGAATGACATCAGGGACTTCAAGAGATTTGCACACCCACGTTCACAGCGGCATTCTTCACAGTGGCCAAACCGCGGAAGCAACCCAGTGTCTGTGGACAGGGGGCGGATGCACATGATGTGGTGCGTACACACAACGGAGAACCATTCAGCCCCCGACAGGAGATTCTGACACCCGCGACTACATGGACAAACCCGGAGGACACGACGCGAAGGGAAAGGAGCCGTCATAAGAGACAAACACCGCATGAGTCCACTTCCGTGAGGGCCTAGAGGAGTTGGACTCAGAGACCGAAAGTGGGATGCGGGGCTTGTGGTTAAATGGTGCCGAGTTTTAGTTCTGCGAGATGAAGAGTTCTGGCAAGGGCCGGGGGTGGTGGCTGCATAACAGTGTGAACGTACCCAACGCCACAGAACCGTGCACTTAAAAACGTTAGGTTTTATGTCGCGTATCTTTTACAGTGATAAAGTCTACCAGAGCAGGGACCTTACTGAGTCCAACAATGAAGGAAGGTCTTTCAGGGAAAAGAACCCCATTTGCTTAAGTATAAAGCTACGATTTGTCATGACAACTGAAGTGGTATGTGTCTTCCCTGATCCTCCTGGATGAGCCAGGCCAGTAAATCACCCGAATCTGTCCCCATCGGAGGCTGGCAAACTACGGCCATATGGCCAATACCGTGCTCATGCAGCCTCCGCTTCTGCTCCGCTGCTCACCTCCCTGCTGCAGCGGACACGGCTCCGTTCCTATCAAATTTTATTTATAAAAAGTCTGCCCACCCATAGTCAGCTGATCCCTGCTCTAAATAAATATTTCAAAAGCAATCATTCAAAATAGTTTCAAGGCCTCAGGCCCTTAAATCCTCAAAACTAAAAATAACCGAGGGGCGCCTGGGTGGCTCAGTTGGTTATGTGTCTGACTCTTGAGCTCATCCTAGGTCTTGGTCTCCAGGTCATGAGTTCGGGCCCCTCGCTGGGCTCCACACTGGGCATGAAGCCTACTTAAAAACAAGAAACAAACAAACTCAAAACTGTGCATTCAATTACTTTCCAAACGCATGAGGCTGGGAGCCACACATCCTAACTGGGGAAGTCATGACTGTCCACACAGCACCAAGCAAGGACTCTCCTCTCAGAAACTAGACTGTTCTGACTTCACAAAGGTCAGACTCGCCTTGTGGAGACCCTTGAACTCATAGCGCCTGTCCCGGAAGGCGCGCACCGTGTCCACATAGAAGGAGTTCTCCCGCTGGCAGATGGTGGTGAGGCGCTCCTCCACCCTGGTCACGTGGATCTTCTTGTAGGCCTTCCGGCAGTAATCTGCGGCACAATCGAGAGCAGGGAAGCATGTGAGACCCCAAACAGGAGATAGCTGGGCCACCTGTACGTAGCCAAAGGAAGTCAGGATAAGGCCGACACCAACAAATGAAGCTTCCCAGGTCAGTACGGAGGAGCACGAAACTCAGAGAGACGGTGCTGGTTTATCCTATCGAAGGACAGCCCAGTGTGAACGGGCCAAATTCGGCAAGAGCCCGGGAAACAGAATTCATCATCCGAACATTTACTGAGGGAGAAATAAGGAAAGGGAAGCTAGGAAGAGATAGTTCACAGTGATCTCATCTCTCATCTAGTGCAACATCTAGTTTAGATGACATCAAGCTGTGACATACCAGAAAGGCCCAAGTCAGAGGAACCACAGTGTTTGGAAACCGCTCACCTGACAGCCTCCGCTTCTCATATTTAGCCTGCTCCTCGCGGGACAGCTCGTGAAAGGCCCGGGCTGGGCCCTCTGCAGTCAAGGGAGGGAACTTCTCTGACTCCAGCTGGTGCTGGATCCGATGGTACTCGCTGCGACTGGCTGGCACTAGGAGGGCGACAGAGGAGAGTCTGTGACAAAGACCTATGCACCCGCTGCCTGCTGAGCCACCCGGCCCCTGCCCCTGGGTCGCACTCACTGAACTCGCCCCTCCACTGCCAGGCCATCTTCCTCTGGCAGTCTGCTCCAGGCTTGTTGAAGTCACAGGCAGCACAGGTGGCCTCGTCCACCACGGCAGAGGGCTGGGGGTGGGGAGGGTGGGGGGAGGGCAGCAGTTAGTATTTGGGCAGAAAAGAGCTCGATTCTGACAGGGGAATCTGTCTCACCTGCAGGCGGTTCGTCAGGATGATGTTGGGGTACATGGCCCCCACATCCAGGTGGTAGATAAGGGGACACTCGATTCTGTTTGGGACATCTTTCAGGGAGGTGAGCTTGGTCTTAATCTGATCACACACCTATGGAGAAAGGAGAAAGACTGTATAGACAGTAACAAAGCAAGCACGTGGGTCCCAGAAGGACAGCAGACGCTGGCCACCAATGCTAGGTCCGGGAGGTACAGGAACCTCACAAGGAAAGAACCCTAAGGAGCACAGCATCTCGGGAAGCAGCAGCCTCCACTCCAGAGGACCTTTTGGGACTGGGAGAAAACTGAAAGACTGTGGCCTCAGATGGCAGGGCCCACCCACCAGCAAGGTGTAAGACCCAGCTCGAGTATCAACAGCACCCTTCCTGGGTGCCCTGTGTGCATGCACAGTGTGGACATGTGATATCCTTGCCTCAGCAGCCCCTCACCTGACACATGAGAGGCTCAAGAGCTTAGCAGGGGCTCAAGCACAGGCGCCCTTAGCCCAAACGCCACACTCTGAACCTCAGTGCTAGATGGTCCCCAGCATTACTTTACAAACCGATGAATGAGATTTGTTTCCAGCCAGAGGTTAAACTGTTATCTAAAAAAACCCTCCTGGTACCTAACACCTAGATATCCTGCATGAAATATGAGGACTATCCCTGTAAATGCAGAACTGAGTTTCTAAGTTACCCCAGAGGGCAAGAGCGAAGAGTAGACTCAAAACCAGAGCAGAGAGCTACATCAGCAGTGGCCTGGCAGAGGCCAGGCTCTGGGTCGGGGTCTCTAGGACCACTCCCAGGTGCAGTGACTCACAGTGCAAGGACACAGAACTCAATCAGCAAAGGGGAAAGGCATTGGGGCAAGGTCAGGAGGAGGTCAGGCTCAAGCTGGGATGAGCTTAATTCTCCCGGCATCAAACCGGGACATGTGCCTGATGCCATCTTGCTCATGGACCCAGTGCCCAGAGTGTTCACTGAGCACTGGGCACCTGGGCACCTTGGCCCACACACACCCAAACCACACTCCCAGGAGGGCAATGCTCCGTGTGAACAAGTGTCTGCACGAGTGAGCGAAGTTCAGGAGGGACTCCTGTCCGAGAAAGGAGAGAAACCTCCCTCCTGAGACCCGAGCTCCCGGCCTCACGAGCAGACCTTTCCGAGGTCGGCTGCCTTGGCCCAGGGTGTGTGCACTCCCGCACGGTTCTCGTGCCTCCTCAGGGACAGGAAGCCTGCACACAACAGGGGGACGATACAGAACCCCCCAAAAAGGCAGGACCAACAAAGGCCACCTCTGTGAAAGAATAAACTACAAGTCTGCTCACCAAAATCACATCTCCTCTGGGCTGCACATCTGGCACCGCAGGCTAGTCCCTCTAATAAGTGTGGGGTTTACGTTATACTCCACTGGATCTGGGAACCCTCTGGCCCAGGAACCAGGTGACAAGGGACCCCGGCCACAAACAACCATCAAAGTAACTGATGGCCCCTGAAGGGCTGCAGGAGACTCCCTGCTGAATACAAATTCACATCCCAAAATCACAGAGCGTGGGAAGAAACACCCCCATGACCAACAGCAGACACAGGGGGAGGAGGCCGAGAACCCGAGAGAATAAGCCTCCCAGAGTAAACGTGGGGAAACTAGCACAATTAAAAATACTAAAGACCAAGCCCTAAATAAAACAGGGAGAGAAAGAGTCCACTTTTTTTTTTTTTTAATGTTTATTTTTGAGAGAGAGACACAGAGTGCGAGTGGAGGATCAGAAAGAGAGGGAGACAGAACACAGGTGGGTGAGGGGCAGAGACAGAGGGAGACACAGAAGCAGAAGCAGGCTCCAGGCTCCGAGCTGTCAGCACAGAGCCCGATGTGGGGCTAAAACTCACAAACGATGATCAGACCTGAGCTGAAGTCGGATGCTTAACCAACTGAGCCACCCTGGTGCCCCTAAAACTAACTGTCTTCTAATGGTCATATATTCACTCTCCCAAAACTAATACCTGATTACGTCATAACATTAATATGTACTTATCTGGTAAGTTCATTCTGCACAAAACATACACATCAGAACTGGAGAATTAGTATATTTAGAAGTTAATCTAATGACTCAGGAAACCTCTGGATGGGACCAGATAATAAATATCTTAATTTAGGTTTTGTGGCCACACAATCTGTCACAATCTTTTTTTTATAACATCTTTAAAATGTAAAAGCTATTCTTAGCTTGCTGGTTACACAAGCCTCATGGGCTATAGTTTGCCAACGTCTGTTATAGACATTTAAGAATAGAGAAAACCAGGGGTGCCTGGGTGGCTCACTTGGTTAAGCGTCCGACTTCAGCTCAGGTCATGATCTCACGGTTTGTGGGTTCAAGCCCCACGTCGGGCTCTGTACTGACAGCTCAGAGCCTGGAGTCTGCTTTGGATTCTGTATCTACCCCTCTCTCTGCGCCTCCCCTGCTCTCTCTCCTCTCAAAGATAATGAACATTAAAAAAAAAAAAATGCTTAAAAAAGAATAGAGAAAACTAAAAAACATCTGAATACATACGAAGACTAACCAGGAGAGTAGCCATCTTTTTTTTTTTTTTAATGAAATACGTTAAATTTGGAAGTCATATTAGAAAAATCATTTGAATGAAAAATTGCCTTTAGTATTAAACTCCTTAAGGGGCGCCTGGGTGGCTCAGTTAAGCATCATTCGACTCTTCATTTCAGCTCAGGTCATGATCTCACGGTCGGGAGATCAAGCCCCGCGTCAGGCTCTGCGCTGTGTGTGGAGCCTGCTTGGGATTCTCTCTCTCTCTCTGCACCCCTACCCCTGCAAGCTCTCTCTCAAAAAACAAAACACAACAACAAAACATTCCTTAAAACCCTCCAAAGTAGTCAAAATAAAAAAACACACCAAAAATTATACAGCAACAATGACTAAAAGGAAGAATGTTTATCATATACAACAAAAAATACCAGAAGTATTAACATTTGTTCCTAGTTGAATTTTAAGCAAATCAATCATTTGAATAATCACTCCATCCTTCTCCACCCTGAGGCAGGTCCTGAAATGCCAATGAGGAGGCCCACGGAGACAGTCCAGGTAAGAGGGGAGGGAGACACAGTTCCCACGGAACACACCTGCGCTGCCGAGATCCCCGGCTGGCACCTCCCATCAGCATCCTCGGGATGAGATGGTCCCTCGGGAACAAAGAGATGAGTCCAGTGCCCTCTAGAACACACTTTAGAAACCGCGAAGGAGCCATACTCCGTCCTCTAGGAGCCTAGTGCTGGATTCACCAGGGTGTCTAGAGTCCCTCCAATCAGCATATCTTTGTTCTCACTCATTTCACTGTTTCTTCAAGTTGAAAGTGTGTTCCTTCTAAGGTGTTAACTCACATTTGTTCTTTAGCCTAGCCACTCTTCTAGATTGTTCTTAGTTCCTTTTTTTTTTTTAAGTTTTTTTAATATTACTTGTTTTTGAGACAGAGACAGAGTGTGAGCAGGGGAGGGGCAGAGAGAGAGGGAGACACAGAATCCGAAGCAGGCTCCAGGCTCCGAGCTGTCAGCACAGAGCCCAACGTGGGGCCTGAACTCAAGAGCCGTGAGATCATGACCTGAGCCGAAGTCAGATGCTTAAGCGACGGAGCCACCCAGGCGCCCCCAGGTTGTTCTTAGTTCTTAAAGTGTATGGTAGCTGGAGCTAACAACAGCTGCACAGCACTTTACAGTGTACAAACACAGCTTTCTCACGTGTGAGAGACCAGAGAGCACAAGCAGGGGAGGGGCAGAGGGAGAGGGAGAATCTTAAGCAGGCTCCACACCCAGCACAGAGCCCAGCGTGTGCCTTGATCTCAGGACCATGAGATCGTGACCTGAACTAATATCAAGAATCTATTAAGAGTTGGATACTTAACTGACTGAGCCACCCAGGCGCCCCTGTAACCACATTCTTATTCGAATTCTGCCTAGTGAGTCTGTTCTGAGCCATTTCTTAGAGAGAGACAGACAGAGAGGAGAGACGGGGAGGACAAGGAGAGAATCTCTGCCCTGAGCGTGGAGCCTGATGCGGGTCTCCATCTCACAACGTCAAGATCATGACCTGAGCTAAAATCAAGAGTCACATGCTTAACTGACAGACCCACTCATCTGCCCATGTTATGACATATTTCTTAAAATCAATCCTAAAACTCGTAAAAGCTCCAAACCACTAGTAACTCAATATGCTGTAGTGTTGAGCAGTGCCCGACAGACACACCTGAGAAGTGCCACGTTCAAATAAGACAAGCAAGGCGGGAGGTACCTGGGGTCTCTAGGCACGTAGCACTTGTAAATGGTGCTTTCTAACCATTATTGGACAGTTTTTACAGTCACTATATTCTACTCTGTCATCTGTAGGAATTGACTATCATCACTTTTAAAGTCTCCTGAACAACAAAAATTAAAACCAGTGGCTCCTCGCTGCCTACAAAATAAAGTCCAAATGAACTGGGCATAAGGCCTATCCCTCGCCTTTGTCCTGCGTACACCCACCACGATGTTCTAAGCAATAGCCAGCTCAAGACCCCATGGCCAACTTGTGAATCTCTACCATCTCCCAAAGCCCAGTCATTCACTGTAACCACAACACTGTCCTGTGCCCCCCAAGCAGACCAGAACAGACTCTGTTATCACCAGGCTCGGAGCCCAAGTACCAGCACACAGTAGGTGCATGCTACTAAAAGCAGCCAGTCTACAAGCAGGGCGTGTGAAGACGGTCTCTCCTGGCCCCCGGAGCGTTACCTCTTGGAAGTTGGTGACCTGCTCCATGGGCACCTTCTCCTCTTCCTCGATGGCATGACGCATGGTCTTCTCCACCCGCTGCAGCAGGAAGTCAAAGGCGGCAGGATTCTAGTACAGATGACCAAGAGAGGACGTGAGTGAGAAGGGAAAACGCCCTCACACGTACCCAACTACCTCGCGCAGGACACTGCGGGGACTGGCCCGGAGAAGCCAAGGGCTTGTCCCGCAGCACCTCAGTCAAGGACAGGCCAGACAAGGGAGGGCTGGTGAGGGATCCACAGGGCAAGAAAGGGGTGAGGGCTGTACTGCAGCCCTGGAGGCTTCTGGGTCTCAGCCCTCGGGAGAGCGGGGAGGGCTCACCATCCTGAACCGGCAGGGGATGTCACTGCGGAACACGCCCGACTCCAGGGCCTCCACGTGGCCACCCACATAGGTCTCGGCATCCAGCACGTGGCCATCACTGGTCAGCTTGTTAAACTCCTGCTCCTGCTTGTTGGGGAAGACGATGTTGGCATGGAAGGCCTGCACCATCAACAAGGCCTCACACAGCGTCCCGGAGCCCTTCCGCAGCACCTGCGGGGGAAAAGCCAGACTTCAAACCAAATGCCAAAATCACACAGCTGCATCCACGGCAGCCGCCGGGGACGAGCTCCGAGGGCCGGCGGGCTGACACCGGCACACGGGGCCGGGAGACGCACTGACCTCGTCAGGCTCCATGGGGATGATGGTGCAGAGGGCGAATATGAAGGGGTGGACGTACTTCATGTACAGGTAGTACGTGGCCACCGCGTCTGACACCGAGTATGTGGCCAGAGTCTGAGGAGAGAACACAGGGCAGTAAGAGCGACAAGGAGCCGGGCAGGCACCGTGTGGGAGCTACAGGTGAAGGCCGTGAGGAGAGGCGCATGCCTGGGGCTGCTCGGTGGCCATCCGGCACATGTCTTCAGGGTCCAGCTCCACGGGGTCGTAGCCCAACTTGGCTTTGGCAGCCGCCTTGAGGTTGTGACTGCCCACAGGAAGGTAACTGTCCCTCTTCACCCACCTAGGAACAAGAACGCGTGCAAAGGTCAGAGATGGCTCTGAGACACAGCCCACGCACTGCGAGAGGCAGCCCCGCTGGACACGACACAGAAAGACGCCTCGTCCCAACAGGTACGCCAAGGATTGCCACCGAGACCCCGCATGGCACAGGCGCCTCGCGAAGCCTCTATCCCAGATCCAGGTAATCTCACAGATACGCCCACAAACACAAGGAAACGCCAGTCTCCCGAGTCCCATGGCCTCCCTCTGTCCCTTGTGGAGAGAGAGAACACTGAGCAGGAGGGAGCCCTCAGCCCCCAGCTTGTCCCATGGGACTGCCAGTCTGCTCTGCTCTCCCCCACCCGGCTCAGGCCCTCTTCTTAACCTCCTCTCTGCTTACACAGTCCCTTCGGCACAGAAACCGGGGGCTACCCTGTGCCCCTCACCCTCACACCTGTCTGCAAATCCTCCCTGTGAGGCAGCTCCGAGACGGATGTGGTCGTGTCCCTGGCGCCCACAGCTCTCTCTTGACTGCATCAAGTCTCCCCTCCCTCAGCCTCCAGACCCTTGGCCATCCTCACCCCTAGAAGTGCCCCTGGGGTCTCCCAATATTGCCGCCTCCTCTGAAGCCCCCCCCCCATCCTTTTTCTTCTCTTCTGGAATCCGTTGATCACCACGCCCCCTGTAAGTGGGGTTCCCAGGCCTGCTTCTACCTAGAACCCACCCTCCTGCTCCAGAGCCCACCCCAAACCCTGAGAACCAACATTCCCTGTGCCCCAGGTGCCCCTGCCCCCCGCCCAGGTCTGTGGATGCCCAAGTCCACCCCTCTCCTCACTCCCATTTGCCCCCTCCGGCCCCCACCATAATGCCAGGCCCCCCAAGATAAAATCTTCCTCCCCACAGGGTACAGGAGGCCCACAAGAGCTCCTTTCTCTCCAGCCTGGACACCCCTGGCTGCAGCACCCTCACCTCTGTGGGGAGCTCTCACAGCACCGGGGCCTCACTCAACCCGGCCTCTTTCTGTTCTGGCTTCCCCAGCCCGAGGCCTGACACTGATGTGTTTGCTGGTGGAAGGAGTAATGAACACACAAGGGAAGACAGCACGTCCCCAGACCCAGCCACAGCCGTTGTCCTTGAAGGTGATGGAGCTGCAACAGAGGCCACCATCCTCCCTCAAAGGGACGCAGACAGGACAAGGGTGTGCAAGAAGGGAGCCTCGGACCCGCACACAGAAAGCCCTCTAAGACAGTGCCAGGAGCCGCCGGGCCTACCTGAGACAGTCCATGTGGATGCACTGGGATGCCTTATACTCCCCCTGGCTGTCCTTCTGGAACCCTATCTCCTGGTACATGCTCAGCCCATGGACCGCCGCTCTGGCCTCCACAAACGGCCTAGGGATGAGGGCAGACAGATGAGCACACGGCAGGTATTCTTCAGTTCCCTCAAATACAGAAAGACTGCCCCACAAGACTCCCGAGAAAACCCAGGAACCCCCCCACCCACCTCTCCTCTACATCTTAACCATTTCTAAGTGTACAGCTCGTTAGCGTGAGTACATTCACAGTGCCACACAACATCCCCTCCCCAACACACTTCAGTTACTCACAAACTAGACATCAGACTCACCAGTCAAAAAAGTCCCCATTGTAGGTGACCATGATGGTGGGTTTGGCCTCTTGGACGTGTTCAAACCACCTCTGGATTAGATGAACCTGAATTCAATGATTCGTAGCAGTCAGTGGATTTGTGTTTCTCTTCTTCCAGCTACTTCCAATCATCCCTCCCAAAATTTCAGAAAAGCAGGCTGTATCTCATTTCCACACCCACCCCGTGCCCCCAGTGTGAACAAGGACCATACCGCCAGGAACCCAGACCAGCAAGCTGCCATTCTGGTTAAATGAGCACTGAGGCCTCAAGAGTCAGGGGGCTCTTCTTCCCGTCTCACCCCAAACACCAGGGAGTTTCTCACATGACACCTCTTTACCTCGTCGGGTTCATTGAAGACACAGAAGGGTCCCTCATACTCTGGCTTGGGGGTGAACTCGAAATCTCCAACGTCCTCTGACACTATCTCCCTATTGGTGATGAGGTAGCCCTGGGAAGCGTGTGAGCAGTCGGTGTGAGTTAGGACACAAAAAGCCAAACACAGCTCCCCACACTTGGCCCAGAAGCTCCTGCAACAAGAGTCTGCAGCAACGGGAGGCCCCTCGCCCACCAGGAGCTGCAGCCCCTAGACCCCAAACGTGTCAGACTCAGATTGGAAGGCAGGGGCACGGCTTGTTTCTTCACTTTCCTGGACTCAACTCACTTATTTTCACTGAAAAAATACCAGCCACAGGGTGCATGCTGCTCCCAGGAAGCGTACACCCCAAAAGGCACCACTTACCTGACCGTCAATCATATAGGAAATCATCATAATCTGGTCAGTCTCAGCATCTGGAAACTTGAGGGGCAGTTTGGTTGTCTCGATGTCAAATGCCAAAACCACAGGGTCCTGCAGGGACATCTCATTAGGTTGGACGTAAACCAAGCTGAGCTCTGGAGACGCCAAGGGTCTTCCCGACACCCCCACCTCCACCTCCAGCTGCTAAAACAAGAGCCAAGCAGCCACAGAGAGAGGTTCCAAAAGAAGCGAGAGAGGCATTTTGGGTTGACTAACCTATGTCAAGAACACCACGATTCACAGAGGGTATGAAATCTTAAACACCTACGAGAGGCTAAAGCACGATGGGAAAATCCTAGAATTACAGAGCACTTGAGTCACAAAGTACTTTAAAATCATGACCTCCTTTTGACCTTTACGATAACCCACATGGAAGACTGTGCTAGAGTCAACATCTCCACTTTGGAAATGAGAAAACAGAGTACAGACTTGCCCAAGATCATAAATGTGTTCCTGAACCAAAGCCTTCCACATACGAATCCGCTTTTCACCCCATCACGTCGCTACCAACCACCCAAAATGGAAGTCAGAGCTCTCCTTTGAAGTTCAGATCCAGCCCAGCTTAAACAAGGACATCACATGGTGACATACAAGCACTAAGTGAAATCACACGTCGTCAGAAACCGACAAAAAAGAAAAAGGAAAAAGATTTCTCTACAACTTTTTTAAGAAAGTATTTGAGGAAAAAGAAGAAAACAAATCTCTGAATTGTATTCATTCTTCAGCACCGAATTAGATCTCTCTAGAAACAAGTGGAAAAGCCAGGATGGAGGAAACGCAAGCAGTACTTACGGGTCGTTCAACAAGGTCATCTCGGCGGGTGATTTCCACAGGGAAGGCATTTCCTCGGTACCTGACGTTGTACCAGTGAGCCTGCGGGACGTGCAGCGTGTTTATCAAGAGTCTACGTCTGGGGCGCCTGGGTGGCGCAGTCGGTTAAGCGTCCGACTTCAGCCAGGTCACGATCTTGCGGTCCGTGAGTTCGAGCCCCGCGTCGGGCTCTGGGCTGATGGCTCAGAGCCTGGAGCCTG